TGGCCGGGGGACGACCGCAGGCTGCCAGGCCTGGGTGTGCCGCCCCCGGCCCCATACGAACTCCGCCATTCTGCCTCCCTCTCCTCTTCCCCGACAAACAAATGATTCCGAAAGACAGACACCTCTCGGTTTTACGGGGGGCGGGAATCCCGCCCCGAGGGCCTCGGACGTGGCCGCCGGAGAGCCACGGCGCCCGAAGGCCTCGCGCTGGTCTCGGGGGCGGCGCCCGGCGCGGGAGAGGAGGCCCGGCCCGGAGCGCACAGGCTTCCAGGTCCCCCTCGCCAGGCTCCGAAATGATAAAGAGATGACTCGACAAACGCGGAGGCTCCTTTCAACACGGCGCTGACGCCTGTGCCCTCGCAGGCTCCCGAAGCACCATCTGTCACGCAGACAGCAACACACATCGGGGACCCAGGGGCGCGGCGACGAGGGATGAGACAATGCGCCCGGCAGCCCGCCTTCCACCGCGCAGGGAAACGCCGGCGGCCCGGGCGCTGCGGGCGGAGAGGCTGCGGAGGGAGGCGGCGGCCGCGCGCGGGATGTCCCGGCCCCAGCGCCACCTTCGCCCCGCAAAGTGAGGTGCTCCGGGGACCGCAGTCGGGAGCCCGCAGCTGTCCGCGAGCGGCCTGGCCAAGGCCGAGCTGGCCTGTCCCCAGCTTTCCTCTAACGATGGCCTCTTGGAAAGGTCGCCTCGCCCGATTCCTCCCGGGCGCCTAGAGGACCGACCCCTACTACTGAGAGCCTTCTGGAAGGTGGCGACCCACGATTGCCGGGCTCCGGGGGACGTGAGGCTTCTCGCAAGGGCCCGGCAGGAAGGTAAGGCACCTGCGGGCGCCGTGTGCACCGACCGCGGGCGCTGGGCCCCCAGCGTGCAGCCCGGGCGACGTCGCCGCGAGAGACACCCGCGTCCGCGCGTGCGGGAGAGTTTGCTTCCAGAGAGACAAAAGCAGGGCTGTGCGATCCGCTCCTAGCCCCGCGCTAGGTTAGCAGCGACTGCGGCTTTCGTTTCCCTGCGAGGAAAACAGGTCCCCTCTAAGGCAAAATAAAAACAAACGTTCCAAGTGAACTGCGTGCGACTCCCTACGGGCTTTCCACCCATACGTTTGTAAGAAGAACAACTTGCGTCTACACATCCAGCTCGAAGGAGCATAAATAAATGAGCGAGTTATGGAAAATCACTATAAGCCACTACCTAGTTGTAGTTCCGGTGAAAAGTTCCTGGGTTGCACTCAAAGCATGTGAAATTCTCCTCCAGATACCTTTTAAAAATATTCGTAAATAACGCGTCATGTTTGCATTTTACTTCTTTCCCAATTAACCGAAATGCATCTGTCAATGTCATATGAACAATCTAACTTAGTTCCAAGCTGGAAAAAAATTATTTAAAGGAGCCTTACCTTGTAAAAGCCTTTTCGATAATCTTTTCTCCAATCTTTTAGAGTTAAAATTCCAGGGAATAGCGGGGAGAAATTCCGAAATATATTAAAGGCAACAAATATTTATTACATTTAAATAAGAAAAAGCGGCTGTCATCTCGCCAGTGTCCACAGCGGGGGAACGATGATATCTCAGAGTATGGACGATACGAATGATCGAATGATCGTTTAGACTTAGTTGGTAGATCAAAAACGCCTTTTCCTTTTAATTGTTCTCAAACATTTCGGGAAATTCGTTGTTGATTTTTTTTTTTCTAAACGGTGTGTTGAAAAGTCTCGCGCTTGTTTTCCTCTTCTAGGTCTCTATAAATAACAAAAGAGATGCAGAAATAAACACAATCACATCAAAGGACTGACGCCTCCACTTTCTAAAAGCGGAAGAATCCATAAGAAAGATGGTTAAGATAAGATTCCGCTTCTGTAGGATCCCTGTTTTCCTTCCCTCAATACGGCTGAGCAGAAACTGGGGAGTGCAAGGCAGAGATGCGATCTTGCTCAGAAGGGATTTTTTTTTTTTTTTTTTTTGAGATAAGGCTTTGTTCAGCTGATGTCTCCCCAGTTCCCAGGAACACAATACTGTAACTCGGGGCTAAGCTTGTCTCTTCCTCTTCCCTCATTGACTTGTATGTTGTATAAACAGACACCTATTTCCAGTTTCAAAGTCTTTCAAGGCTTGGTTACATCTCCCACCCCCACCCCCCGCCTTCCTTTACCTTATAGCAAAATATACATAGTCAGTGGCTTGGAGAGGCTTGGAGAAAGATTGGTGGAAAGTGAATGCCTCCCGGAGGAACAGTGACAGGGAAGCAGAGAAAGACTGGAGAGGGTGTGAGAGCCGGAGCAGAGACAGAGATGCGCGTGGCTCCTCGGCTCTCCTGGTACCAATTGATTCAGCCTGGAGATGGTGGAAGAGATAAAGGCTTCAGAAGGGGGATGGAATTTTTTTCCCCTAAATTGATATTTAATGGGAAATCCTATTGGACAGAAACCTGGACATGAGTCACTTAATTGGACTTGACATCTGTCACAGTGTTGGAGTTTTCACAGCCCAAATATTTTAGCAGATCAGATTCCCACTGAATCTGTGCCATAAAATATAACAGTTGAAAGCAATCCGTGATAGAAACCTTAGACTCCGAGCAGAATCTGTAGCCATAATTAGATGATTTCTCTTTTTCAGATCACCGATGCAGTATTTAAGTGCAAATAAATGACATATCGACTATGGAAAAATTCTCCTGGCATTTTATAAAATGAATATCTCCCTAATGTTTAGGGAAAAAATGGTATCCAAAACATAGAAATATATACTGTATATGGTGCTACAATAAACACTCAAATATGCTAACATTTATTAGTGATCATATACGTTTTAAAAAGCACTTCAACAAGGCTTGATTAAACATGGTCATATCTTTGAGAGGTAGCCTGCCACTGGGCTAATTTTCCGATATGTGATGAAAACCTTTCAATAGATTTAAGAGTCCTTGGAACTGGGAACAGAATCTAGGGATTGTAATTTCAGGGATCACTATCTGAGACCATTTTGCTTTCCGAATATATTTGTTTTTCTCCTCACCTACTCATTCATTCAACTTAAAATATGGCATACTGCATGGGTTGATTATTGCAGTTCATTTTTGCTTATTTTAATCTGCAAATTGCTGTGTGGCAATGCATTGGGCCACGATGTAAACACATCCAGATCACCAGTATACTCTAGCACGTAATGCCTTTGCCTTACATGACCCCCATGGCTCTGAATTTATATTCCTTATAACGAAGGGGAAAATCTAGTTCAGTTATTTTGCCACTTTATAGAGATACTGTTAGCCGCCATCAATTATATATTATTTACAATCATTTTAGCTTTTTGATTGTGCAAGCTTAAAAGAAATAATTGTAGCTCTAGCCCCTCCCCCACACCACCTCCCCAATCCCGGGTGGGGGGGGGAGGGGGGAGACAGTTTTGGCAAGAGAAGTCCTCGCTTTCCCTCCTTGATCAATTTTTCCCTAAAAACATGTTTTATCATCGGGGTGGGGGACCGTCTGGGTTCCCCATGGCTCCCACCAGTCCTGTTTGCGTTTGCACACATTTTTCATCCAATGGGAGACGCCTGCACCAGAATGGGGTGGCAGTTGGGGACAGCAAGGAGCGCCTCCCCAGAAAATGGGCACCACCCCTTACCAGCCTGGCCTCTGCCCAGCCCCTGCACAGGACAGTTCAGTGGAGGCAGAGCCAGCCCTATTCAGGTGAGTGGATGAATCCCCCAAGGTTGCAATGATGAAGGGAGAAGAGACCTTTCCCCAGTCTAGCTAGGAGCAGCTAATGCTGAGCATTCGCACACAGCCGGAAGGATGCACAGAGACGTACCCGCGCAGATATCTGTACCCTTTGCCCCCCATTTCTCACACAAGCCGGCTGGCTCTGCGACACCACTACGAGTTCAGACTGACAAGTTGTAAAAACCTGGAGGGTCTCATCACAGTTCGCAAGGCAACTGCTAGACTGGGAAGCAACTGGTATCTATCTCTGGTTACCCTGGTGTTGGGGGGAAGAGGGGGAAATGGGGAGACAGACCAGCGCAGGTTACACTCTGCTATGGTATGTGCGGGTTCAGACACACTCTCTTTTACATTCACGCCTTCTGAGCCCACGCTTACAGCCTGCGTGTACATAAATTAATATATGAGTAAGCAAAAAAGCCTGTGTGAATAGGTACACACTCAGACCCACATATCGTCACTCCTAGACACACAGTCATGGTCACAAGCATGGATTCACACTGATGCACATGCATTCTCTCTTCCAGAAAAGCCTCCCCACCCCCTGCGGCCACCTTTGCCTTTCCTAAGACCTCCCAGGCACAGATGGCCCCTCCTTCTGGGCTCCATAAGCACTCTGTTCGCATCTCCCTAGAGACTACATATACCGTCCCATGATTCTTGGTTTCCGTACTTGTGTCTCCCACTAGGCTGTGACACTTCCAAGGGAAGTCGGTAGCTCACATCCCCAGCACTGATGTCCGAGTCTGACACACTATTAGCACTCAGTATATTTATGGTGAGTGACTTCCTGTGTATAGAGGCACCCAAGATATTTGTAAACAGAAACTCTTCCACCTAAAGACCAACGTGATTTCAGTTGTACCGATTTTTTCTCCCATAAAAGTGAGGATAATAATCTTGCCCCACTCACTTCACAGGCTGGTTATGAGACTCGCTGTGTGTGAAAGTATGCGCCATACAAATGAAGTTATTATGGAATATTAGGAGGAATATTAAATAATACTATTAAATCAATGGGGAGATGGTAAGCAGTGATTTATAAAGCTGGACTTTCTAGCTCTAACATATGCTAGTTGTGTGAATTTAAGAGAGTTACTTTGCCTTTCTGGACCTCAGCTTCATTCTGTAAAATGGATGTATTAAAAGTATGCTATGTAGTTATGTTATGTCATATGTTTTTTCCAAAGATGAACAGGATAATCTGTGTAAAGTGCTTAAACTAATGCCTAGAACTCATGCTCAATAAGTGCTGGCTATTAATATTATTAATAATATTATTATCATTCAATGTAAATACATATTGAGAGTCAGAAAGGTAAATGCAATTACATGGAATGTAAAGATCCAGTATATTCACCCAGATTGTGTGTGTGTGTGTGTGCGTGTGTGTGTGTGCACACACGTGTGCGTGTGTGTCTATGTCTATGTGTGTGTCTGTGTTGAAATCCAGAGAGTATGATTAAGATCTAGGCCTGGAATATCTTTGGTACCCAGATAGGCAGACCATGTTTCCCCCATATTGTGTGTGTGTGTGTGTGCATGTGTGTGTGTGTGCCTAGACACACAGTCATAGTCCCAAACATGGCTTCACACTCACACACATGCATTCTCTCATACATTATGCATATTCGCTCATTTTATCTTCACCATAAGCCTATGAGGTAGTCGCTGTTATTGTCTCAATTTTGCATTTAAGGAAACCGAGACACAGAGAAGATGTTTGTCTATTCAAAGTCACATAGCTAATAAATTATGGGGCCAAGGTTTAGACACAGGTGGTCTAAATTCAGAAACTGCAACCACTATGCACTACTGCTTCAATGGTTATGGCATGCTACACAAGTACACTCATGCAGAAGAATTAGTCACCAAATGAAATGCATGCTCTGAGGGAGAAATATACATATACACAAAACACATATAAATTGCCAACTTTTGCATTTAGAGGTGATCATAGAGAGTCAACACAGTTTTAAATACTGTGTATCTAGCATTTTTCCAGATGCTGTTGGATGACAAAAACTATATAATTATTTATTAATTCTACTAGACAGTTGTTTTCAATCTATTTTCTTAAATGTACCCCATCAGTAAAACGTTTGAGCATACATAACCAGTGTATGTATCTTTATTATCAAACTTTATACGTCTACTATCACACTAACATATTCTATAATTATAAAACATGCACAAAAAGATTTTTAAATGACAAACATAAAATTTATAATATTTGTAAAATAATTTTATTTACGAACATACAAAAAATCTACTAATAGCACTAGGTCTTATTGATAATATTATAGTTTTTGAAAGCAGTAATCTTAATTTTATTATTTAATTAAAATTATTATATAATTTTTGACTTTTTGTGATAATTTGATGGTCTGGTCTTATGCTCAACTTATGAAGAATCTAGTTTTCATGGCTAATGTAGCAGAAAAAACGTAATGCAAAATTACAAAGGTTCAAATAGAAGTTCATCGTCAATCGTGTTAACTAAACTATGATTCTCATTTTTCTATGTTACCTACAGAATATGTAAAATTTTGTTCAAACCTGGTGAGCAAAATCTAATGTGAAAAGTTAATCTTTGTAACAAATGAGTTCAAAACCCCCAATCTGTTTGTATGGATCTCTTTTCAACAGTTTAGAAATTTTTTATTTCCAAGTGTTTTACGTGTTCAGATATATCTTAATATATGGCATATTTCCATTATTTGGAGCAGCAAAAATCAAATAGCAATAGAAAAATTTACAAATATCTCATTTCAGAATGCCTTCTCCATAGTACAAATTTTGTTTTAAAAATTACCATTTAACTCTTTTTAAAAATATATACTTTATTTAAAAAGTATTGAGTGTGTATTTATTATTATTATTTTTAATCTGCTGGTAACATACTATCGACAGCCCTTTGTCATCAAAGAAAAAAAATTTGGAACACTTATCTTAAAGTTGAACAACTCTTAAAGTGCTTTGCCACATACTAACCAGAATATCTCTTTGTGGGACAGAAAAATTTCATGGTCTCTTCCAGTTTTATATATTGCAAAGATTCAGCTATATTTTAAAGAACTCAGTTTCTCAAACTAACTGCATGAGTACATATTGTACACTTCTGCTTTAATTTCTTTATGGAAAATTCTTGCATAGGAATTATTTAGTGAATATTTTATGTTTATGATGGTCTCTCTAGCCCCAAACTCTATATTAATTTGAGTTAAATCAGCCATTTCCTCAGTGATTAGACCTCCACAATTTTCCATAAAGTCATTCTTTCATTAAAGACCATTTTAGTTGTGGGTAGATCTTCTCCCATACATTTTACTTTTAATGTCCCCTTAAGAAAAGAAGTTCTTTTGCAACAGAATATATTAAGCACCACAGGATGAAACACCTTAGAAATAGCTGTTGCTCTTTCATCCAACTAAATAGCAAAATTTTATCACTACATAAATTGGTCTAATACTAGTTTCTTCAAATCTTCGGCAATGCTCCTCAGTTGTTTGTCAACAGAATTCGGCAACATGGGAATCCACTTCAGTTTG